GAAATTTCTGTTCAGTTGCTCAACTTTTTTGTAAAAAGCTTGAATAGCGCAATTAAACTAAAACTTAAAATCTTAAACTGATTACTGTTTTAAAGCAGATTTTAAAAAGGACATGTATTAGAAATGAATTAATTTTTAAAGCTTAAATAAGCTAAAATTTTCGAAAATTTCTTCGATTACAGTTTGTAGATAAAAATAACCTTCTATTTTCAAAATTTAAATCGTTTTTGGCTTTTCGCTGAATAGTAAAAAACCGCTTTAAAATGTGATAAACTTTATTCTTTTTCTGTGTGAAAAGATTTTTTATCAACAAACAGATATCCTGATCTCATTTTTGAGTTTTTCAAAATTTAAAAAGTGTTTGTCACTTCAAAAAAGTGAGGTTTGGACTTAAGAAATAAGTTTTACATAAATTTTTCGGTTTAAAAGGTAAGAATTAGCCTACTTTCTAATTTTTTCTTTTCATATTTTATTTTGCATTTATGTAGACAAACTTATTCTAGCAACTTTACCTGCCAATGATTTAAAGACACTAATACAATACAGCGAACATAGATTACCTCTTCTAGACAGACAAAACGAAAGAAATCTTAGCCAAAAAACAGCAGTCTGTTTTAAGTTATCGTCAAAAGAAACTGCTTTGCTTTTTTTTTTTTAAATTTAAAGTATTTTAAGACCTCTCCTGCACCTTCATACCGTCTGGAAAATTAAAGCTCTCTCAGCTGTTCATTTTTTTAGATCTTGAAGGTTTAACTACGTCAAGTTTACCTGTATTTGCTGCTCTTCTTGACGCAAGAAAAATTTTGCATAAACATTTACTATAATCAGCAAAAGCAGATAAACCGCCTTTATCATTCTGCATTAGAAGTCAAAGTTGAATACACCTATTTCGTTTTTGCATTAAAAATTAATAGCAAATAAAAAATATTGCACATTTACTTCAGGTAACTTTTTACAGCGCTAAACTGAACAGAGAGAAAAGTGTGGAAATAAAGCAATTTCTTCATAGAACTTTCTTAACTAAACAGTAGAAAGAGCCAACATTTTTCAAACTATAACTATTGCAGTGATAATTATGGCAATAAAAATGCATATAGAAATATTAATATAAAAAAAATTTTAAGCCGAATTTTCCAAAGTTTTTTTTTTCACTTTTATAGCAGTATAAGCCACAGATGCATTTGTCTTATCACTGTATACTCAATCTTATTTTAGTTTTTAAACAAACTCAAAAACCGAATAGATGCAATAGCATTTGAAATTCAATAACAACAGCAGTAAATCTGGAACACTCCCAGACATGTAATATAATTTATTCTCTTTACGTCTCAAAATATCTTCAAATTTTACTAATCAATATGGTTTAGGTCAGTATTAAAAAAAGCCGGAAAAAACCTAAAATAGTGAATTTTTTGCCAAATTACATCTTATTGAAGTTGTAAAACTGGCCAGGTTGACATGCCTACATTTGCAGGTCTGTAATTTAGCCCGTTTTTAAAGCTATTCAAAAAATTATTAGTTTTAAGACTTCTCATGTCTCGTACTTTTGAAGACATATTAAATAATTTAATTCTGGTTAAAATTTTATAGGTACAGTAAAAACAGATTTTAAAAAAAATTTTAAAAAAACGCATTTCTAAATTTTAAAAAAGAAAACATTTTTTGTGTAGGATTTTTTTTGCTCTATAAAATATCAATTAAGGTAATAACGTTTTTTTTTTTGGTACTGAGAGCTACGAGCTGGTAACGAATGTGAAACTGAAGAAAACCCACTGTTTTTTGCAATAATCTTTTGCCTTCTACAGTGCTGCACTGATCTGTTTCTGAAAATTGCAGAGACGGCCGGAAAATCACTGCATACTTTAATTAAAACTAAAATTATACCTTACTCTAAATATGACATCGTTAAATTCTATTAAAAACAGGCTTAATTACAGGTCTGCTAAGACAGGCCTGCTAAGCATCAAAATGACATATTTTGCAGCTCTGAAGCAGTGTAACTTGCGAGATCTAGTATTACAAGGTCTCTTCTCGGTCTTCTGTAAAATGACCCAAACTGTGCTATACAGCAAAATTTTAGAAAATCTTGATATGTAAAGAAAAAAAAAGATGTGCTATTTGGCGTGAGATTTCTCACCTAAATTAAATACGTTTAAACCTTACTTTATAATTGTTGAAAAAGAAAGTGGTCTTTAATAGAAAGAACATTTAAATCAGATCACATTCTTCTATGAATTAAACTTCAATGACTATTTTTTTCAAAAAACTTACTACGCAAACTACTTTACTTAAAAGTTAAAAAACTTTGAGGTGTAGAAAAGTAGAGCAAACTCTTTCTGACAACAATTCAAAATATCTTTTTCGAAAAAAATTTGAACACTTTTGTTTGTCTTTTTTAGAACAGACCAAGAACAATCTGCTGATTTGCACCGCCAAATGCGAAACTGTGGTTAGCTTGACAGTAGGTGCTTTTGAGACATTGAATTAAGTTTGTCGACTAAACTACAGCGATACCACGATAATTTATTCTTTGGTAGCTGTTAATTTCTGGTTTTATTTACTACCAAAAAGGAATTTTTTTTTAATGCAATATCTGACATTGCCAATTAAAAAGAAATACTTTATTAAACAAGAAATCTGACAGTAAGTATTTCAGGCTTTTTTTATTTTATAACGTTTTATTGATCAGTAAAATTCAAATGCAGCATTTTTATTGAAAATCATTTATTTTCGT